AGCAGGAGTAGCCTCCCTCCTGGATGAGCCATGGCTCCCTCCTGCATCACCCCAGCTGAACAGCGCCTGCCCCTGCCCCCCACCCCCTGGAGATGCTGATCTGTAACCCCCATGCCCACCCCCCCCCTGTGTCCACCACAACAAACTTACCAGCTGCACGCTGCTGGGCTCTGATCCTTCCTACCTGCGTGCTGCGCGCATGCACAGGCATTTATCAGCCACATTATCAGCCACTTCAGGCCGATTTCCAATGCAGCCACTTTTCTTTATATCAGTACCGATCTGATATTGGACTGATGTATCGGTGCACCTCTAAAAACTGTATGCAAGAGAAATAAGATGGGTGTCAATACAGAATAAAATTTTTTATTGAAAAGAGGTAGCTGCAATTTAACCACGTTTCTGTCTGAAAAAATTTTGCATCCCAGGAGACTTGGGGTTAAGTCTATTGGCTCATAAAGAAAACAAAATACTTGTGCCACCTAAAACAGATTTATGGAAGCAAACTTCCATAAGGATTAGGTACTGGAAATCTTAAACTTCTCTTGAAAGATATTGAGCACTTTTAATGCTTACTGAAGTGACCATGCAGATTTAAGCCATGGAATGACCAGATTCTTGGTCATGTTTCAGGAACCTTTAGCTTTTATTCCAAGAAAAATAGCATCTCAGCAACAAGAAGACCTTTGCTATACTACCACTTAGGTGGGAGATTAATATGCATAATAAACCTTGAATCACATTTCTAATGAGTAGTGTAAGGTTGATGTTGTAGCCGTGGTGCTCCAAAAGTTATGTGAGGCAAGGTTTTCTTAGAGTGGTAACTTTTATTGGACAAACTGCACAGCTGGGAGAGAGTTAGACAAGCTTTCAAAAGCAAGTTCTTCAGGTCTGCTCACGAGGAGCCAGACACTGTGATCAGACCCGAGGAACAAGGTCTTGTATTCAACAGTTTTGTCCAACTTTCTCTCAACTACATAGTTGGCCCAATAAAAGTTAGCACCCTGAGAAATCCCAAGTCTAACGAGTAACATAAAAATGGTGCAGCAGCTGTAATGGTCCAGAAATTATGTGAAGAGGCAAAAGTTTCTTAGAAATTTTTCTGAGGGAATTTCCCTCACAAGAACTTTAGTAAGAATTGCTGATAATCTGTGAAATGATCTCCACATTTATTTGTTGCTGTATTTAGGGTTGTGTTTAAGAGAGCAACAAACAAATAAATAAAACCCGGAAATGCTCCCTGCAACGCTAAGGGCTTTGAAGACAAAAAAAGAGACACAAAATAGGTAGACAAGTTGCACCGCCAGGGTCTAGCTGCCTGCCTAGGGTTGCGGCACCACGAGGAACCTGCAGCACGATCACCCAAAGAGCCACCGCCCAGGGAACCGCCCCCGGCACTCGCATAGCCCTGCCGAGCCGCGCAACCAACTACAGCGGGGCCGCCGGGCGGAGTCACTCTCACGTCGGAAAAATGAGGCTCCAGCTGGAAAGAGGCAGCGGCCGCCGAGCTGCGGGGTGGAAACGTCTCCCGGCTCTATAGCTGGTCTGCGGCCGGGCCAGAGCAGCGCCACTCCCAGCGCAGGGCACGGGCTGGGGCTGGGCCAGGACCGCGCCTCTTGTCGCCGCCGCCCCAGTCCCCCGCCTTCAGCCCACGCCCCGAGCGCGGACTAGCCTCGTTGCCCCGCCCCCGAGTCTGGAGGGGGGGGGCCGGGCCGGGCCGTACCCGCGCGTAGCGCTCCCTGTCGCCCGCTCGTGCGGAGGCTGCACACATGGCCGAAGCGCGCCGCACTCGGACCCTAGCAACCGGGGCACCGGCAACTTCTGCGTGGCAACCGCAAC